ATCTAGTGAGCCAAGCTACTATCCTGTTTTGTTTAACAAATTGAAGTCTCCTCTGAACCTTAACTCATTACTTCGTTGAAGAATTTTTGAAAACTTTGCAGCCAGATTTCCAATCCACATGTTAAGGATCTGTAAACTTCTCAGCATGCTATTCAGGATAACATACCCCATCCATGAATTTAGAGAGATATAGAGAGAATTATGGAGAGAGTGGTAGTGCGGTAGTTAGAGACAGTGGCTCAGTTTGGTGTAGTTTCCCTCCCCCTCCCCCTCCCCCCTTTTTTTGATAGATTCAATTGAGAAAAGATAGAGAAGAAGATGAATTGCGGACGGAAGAATTAGAAACCTGCTCTGATACCATGATAAAATCAAGGAAGGAAAACTGTGGAAAAAATGAATTGAAAATAAAAGAATAGACCAGCTGTAAATGGCAGGGAAGAAGATGGATATTCATTCATTCAACTTAAAGAAATTACAATGCAACCTATTCTATTTATAGAGAAAATAGCAAACAAACTATCTAACAAACTAACAACATAACAAATTAAGAAGGAACTAGAAGAAGTTAGAATCTGGAAGAAGAGACTGGAAGGTTCTGCTATTGAACATGAGCTGTTGGTTTACTAGTGAACAAGTGGAACATTCCAACAAGTGTCGTTTTCTCCATATTAATATTTCTCTGTAGAAATTTAAAGTTTTACTTATTTAGGGTCTACAGAACAGTGTCTGAACAAGGAAAGAATGAATCTTAGCATTTTGTCTTTGATGAAAGTAAGAAATTATAATTTGACTTATGCATGCTTGCAAGAGAAATACTCACACTCCATAATTAATTTCATTCGCATTCTTCTCTCAAATTTCTACTTATAATTCATTTTTCTTAATGCCCACAACCTACTTGTCTGCAACCTGAGTTCAGTCAACCACATGCCTTCATTCAATAATTTCAAAGGTGATGACACAAATTGAAGACAAGGAAAGGTGTACTATCATGTGTGGACTCTAGGGCAATAATTTTTGAGGATTTTATTGGCATAAAATTGAGACGGGTGAATTAGGTTTATGGCTATTTTTTTATGAGAGTCGCTATTGACATTAGCAATTATTATATATCTATCATACTTGATATCTATCCTTATTTGAAAAATTACTATTTTAAAAAATTACTATTTTCATCCATGCATGTTACATTTCAATATTAAATTCTGTAGAAGAAGGGATTCCAAACTCCACGAAATCTGGGCTCAGTATTGAAGTAATCGACCACCACGAGTCCAACCAAATCACGTAACCAAAACACCCAAATCGGTTGCTCAATGTTTCCCACAAAGAGCTGAATGTGGGAGATTATGGAAGCTCAAAAGTCAGCCTTAAAAGGCTAAAGTAAGAGATGAAAACAAGGACAATAAAGCACACAGCAAGACTGGAAGCACGAAGCCGAAAGGGGGCAGTTTTCTCTTAAGACAAGGCTACCAAATTTTCACACACACTACCATCAGCAATAACGAGGTCGAATATATAAATGGATTAGGTATGGNCCTCCCCCCCCCCCCCCCCCTTTTTTTTTGATAGATTCAATTGAGAAAAGATAGAGAAGAAGATGAATTGCGGACGGAAGAATCAGAAACCTGCTCTGATACCATGATAAAATTAAGAAAGGAAAACGGTGGAAAAAATGAACTGAAAATAAAAGAATAGACCCGCTGTAAATGGCAGGGAAGAAGATGGATATTCATTCATTCAACTTAAAGAAATTACAATGCAAACTATTCTATTTATAGAGAAAATAGCAAACAAACTATCTAACAAACTAACAACATAACAAATTAAGAAGGAACTAGAAGAAGTTAGAATTTGGAAGAAGAGACTGGAAGGTTCTGCTATTGAACATGAGCTGCTGGTTTACTAGTGAACAAGTGGGACATTCCAACAAGTGTCGTTTTCTCCATATTAATATCTCTCTGTAGAAATTTAAAGTTTTACTTATTTAGGGTCAATAGAACAGTGTCTGAACAAGGAAAGAATGAATCTTAGCATTTTGTCTTTGATGAAAGTAAGAAATTATAATTTGACTTATGCATGCTTGCAAGAGAAATACTCACACTCCATAATTAATTTCTTTTGCATTCTTCTCTCAAATTTCTACTTATAATTCATTTTTCTTAATGCCCACAACCTACTTGTCTGCAACCTGAGTTCAGTCAACCACATGCCTTCATTCAATAATTTCAAAGGTGATGACACAAACTGAAGACAAGGAAAGGTGTACTATCATGTGTGGACTCTAGGGCAATAATTTTTGAGGATTTTATTGGCATAAGATTGAGACGGGTGAATTAGTTTTATGGCTATTTTTTTATGAGAGTCGCTATTGACATTAGCAATTATTATATATCTATCATACTTGATATCTATCCTTATTTGAAAAATTACTATTTTAAAAAATTACTATTTTCATCCATGCACGTTACATTTCAATATTAAATTCTGTAGAAGAAGGGATTCCAAACTCCACGAAATTTGGGCTCAGTATTGAAGTAATCGACCACCACGAGTCCAACCAAATCACGTAACCAAAACACCCAAATCGGTTGCTCAATGTTTCCCACAAAGAGCTGAATGTGGGAGATTATGGAAGCCCAAAAGTCAGCCTTAAAAGGCTAAAGTAAGAGATGAAAACAAGTACAGTAAAGCACACAGCAAGACTGGAAGCACGAAGTTGAAAGGGGGCAGTTTTCTCTTAAGACAAGGCTACCAAATTTTCACACACACTACCATCAGCAATAACGAGGTAGAATATATAAATGGATTAGGTATGGGCTTTTAGGTTAGGAAATAATAAGGCCTAATAGGAATAAGTGGGCTGTCAACCAGATAAAAGCCATCCAAGTTTTGGGTTGGGCCACGAGCAGCACTAATTTAATTAGGCTGCTTCAAATAACCCAAGTGGATAATATGATTGGTTTAGACAATTGTGGTGTCGATATACATTCAGTCATTTTTTGATACCGACTGAATAAACAATACTTACATCATCGTCCGAGAGGTCGTTTGACAATAATTTACCTAACAAATTCATTCATTTAAATAGTATAAAAACATACAAATTTTATATATTGAATTTAAAGTACCATACAATATAAAGTACCATACATATCTATGAAAACGATTTATTTATTTTTTATTGCAATTAAGATAACAACTTAATGTGCAAAGAATTTCGATATTTTTGAACATGAGATTTATGTTTTGCATTGTGAAGAAAATTTTGATTTATATTGTTGAAGAGGTTGACAATAATGAATCTTGGATGCATAATCTGGACAACTATTATGTTATAAATTTTTAGACCAATTCTAGGAAAGTTTGGTGATTGAGTTGTTGTAGGTAAGGGTGGGCATGGGTTGGGTTAGGTCGATTTTTACCTCAACCCAACCCAAAATGATCGATTTGATCATAATTTAACCCAACCCAACCCTGTAAAGGTTGAAATCCAACCTAATCAAGTATCGATGGAGTTGGTTGGGTGGTCGATTTGGGACAACTTTTCAACAAAGATTAAAATAAGCGGATCAGGTTGGACGGATTTATAATTGACTTATGACTTTTATGATATTAGGTCTCTATAGTTGTATGACCAAAAAATCTAAATTATTTTGGCACTTCATGCTTGAAAATGTTACAGGGATTGATTGATATTAAGCCTATGTTTGGAACCCGTTTTTTGGCCCAAAAATCAATTTCTCCTACAGTAAGTTCAGACATGCCTCCCCAAAGTGAAGAAAGTTGTCAGGAACCCAATTTTTTAACCATTCCTCCCGTTGTAAAATCTTTCCATTTTTGCCCCCATCTTCAGCATCTACAATCAATTCGTTGTCCTGCCATTCCAACCACTCCTCTCCAATAGTTGCAGACTCAAACCTTGGCAAGGCGATCTGTGACGTCGCGTACAAATCTGCCTGAGAAAATTGGAAAGTAACTTCGCTTCAATCCAGGTACACACCAGCCATTTTTTAACTATGCCAATCGAAGACCCAAGTATTATTTTTCACTTTCTTCTCCTGTCCCTGTTCAAGGCTTCGATCCTGTTGGAACTCCGGCAACAAATTCGGCTTCTACCACGAATTAGTGTCCCGATTCCATGGACCACGACTTCTCGCAGTGGCAAACTTCCCCCGACCAAACGGTAAGCCATTCCTCAAAAATAATAGATAGAAGGAGTATACTCTGTCCATTTGCTACCCATTTATACCAGTTTTGTCATTTTTTTTCACATGGGTATTACTCCAATTTGATGGACTTCTACATAAATTTATGTCTGACCCGCGATGCATACGTCTCCCTGTAATCGACTCCACCTATTCCGAATTTGATTCTTGTCAATTTGTTGATGTTTATCAATATTACGTGCCTCCTCATGCTTGTTCCCATGGCAGCAGTTCACAAGTGTTTGCCCACCGAATTTGCACCCTCATTCTTCCAAGTCGCAGGCAGCCCTGGGCGTGGTGCGAAAGACGGCGAGATGGAACCAGCTGGAGCACAAAGCGTTCATTGACACTTGCGAACTTGTCATAGCTGAGGGTCACCGACGAGGGAAATGCTTCTCCTCGAAAGGATGGCAACGAATATCAGACCTGTTCAACTCGTCGACGGGGAAGGACTGGACGACAACGCAGATGAAGAACTATTGGAATAAACTGTGAATGGATCACAAACTTCTGTTTGAGTTGTTGCGATGTACTAGAATTGAGTACCACTCGGGTACCGGAAGAATTCACGCCCCTGACCATTGGTGGAAAGCAAAAATTAAGGTATTTTTTCACATTTTAATGCACCTGCTCATTGGCAGAGGACTTTCTTTTTATAACGTTGCACACTGCAACAATATAGAGTGTTCTTGCTTGATATATCATTTTACACACACAGGGGGTTCACATTTTCCATATACCTTTTGTAGTTCACGCCCTTGATACCAGTCTTTGTAATATCCTAAACATGATGTTGGTTGTCCCGGTATTGATGAAACTTGATGTTGGTTGTGTTGGTGTTGATAGAACATTATGTACTGGCCGTGTTGGTATTGAATTTGCATGTTGTTTGTTGTGTTGGTAATGATTGAACATGCTGTTGGTCGGGTTGCTATTGATTGAACAGTATTACTCCTTCCGGTATGTATTTGAAGCAATGGATACATGTACATGCACAAGTTTGTATTTATTTCAGACTCCCACGTCATTTGTCATCTACCTCATGTATGCAGGAGAACCCAAAGTATGCGAAGTACAGGAACTTCAACTGCAGCGAGATTTATGACACGCACGGTAGATTGTTCGGGGACACTGGAGACTCGACCAAGTATGCGTTGTCCCCAACGAAGTTGTCGCACCGTGGTTTTGATTTGGGCACAGATAGTAACAGAGAGTACGGAGGTGACAAGTTGCCCATAAATGAGGAAGCCACAGATTCAAGTGGCAGCCCAGTCGAAGGTCGAACAAACTCCTTCATGAATATATCAGCACTCCATAGTGGGGATAAAAGAAAAACCAGGCACGGGAAAGGGAAAGCAAAGAAGAAAATGTTTGGTGCACGAGAAGTTTCGGCTTCCCTTGAACAGATGGTTAGTGTTGGAACGGATCTCGCTTCAATTGCCCACTTGTATCGTTAGGGAGGAATGACAATCGATGCATGCGTTGACGAACTTCTATCGTCTGGCCATGTTCAGGAAGGTGATCGGCTCCACCTCTTCGCCTTATGGTTCCTCCGGGACAAAAACAATCGGAACTCTTACTGTGCTGCGAAGACAACTCACTTGAGATTTAAATTCATCGAGTACTGTTTCGAGCGAGACAATATGTCCATTAATCGTAAGGATTGAGCGCTCCCTCTTGACGTTTGTGATGAGTTTGTATTGTTTTTCTCGTTGTGTTCGGACGATTTTATGTGTACATCAAGTTTGTTACATTTTCCTTTTATTTATTAGTTCGTGTATCGTAGAACCTTAGCCTTTGTGTTATAATATGAATTACCATGTCGATTCCACTACCTTCGCACTTTTTAAGATTTATGCTGAACTTTTGTGACAGTCAAACTTCCATGGACTACAGGGAAAATATTCCCTACATCATGATTTAAAATTTCTTGCGTGCTACCATTCCATCCATTTTTCAACTCCACATTATTACTCCAACCTATGGTAGATTAATGTTTTCAACAAAACAATATTCAGCAGGAGAATTTTTATGATTGCAGGGAAGAAACATTTTTATGGTATAGACTTTCTTGCATGCTACAAGTATTAGGGCCACCTTTGTCATGAACTTTATCAAAACAAACAAGAGTCAAAAGGCTGTAGGGAAGAATCAAAGCTGCGCCACATTTCGTTCATGCTACAATTCGTAATTTTTCCCCCAAAACGCACATTATTACTTCCACCCATTTGATTAACTTTTACAAATCTATTACAATAGGGTGTAGAGTGCAACGAAGAAACTAGTGTGCACATTATTTCTTGCATGATAAAATTCCCTTTTTTTTTAGTTTCAAAAATTCACATTATTACTCCCACCCTTGTGTGTGGTTTTTTTTTTTTTTTTTAAATGTCGTAAATTTCGACTGTGAATGGAAGAAACAATCATTTTACGATTTTATGTGGTAGGGTTCGTTTTTATTTCTCCCGAAACGCACATTATTACTTCAACCCTTCTGATTAACTTTTCGAAAACAACAATAGGGTATAGACTGCAAACCCTAAACAATGGTGCACATTATTTCTTGTCATAAATCATTTCATGTTTTTTTTTCCAAATTCACATTATTCCTCCCACCCTTGTGATTCATTAGTGCAACAGAATAATAGGGTATCGGCTGCGGGGAATAAACAATTGCGAAGGGATAAACAAGCACATTATTGCTCCCACTAAGTTGCATACATTTTTCAACAAGACAAGGGGCCATGGGCTGAAAGGAATGTATTCCCATCAATTGTAGTAGAAGTTTTGTCGTCAATACCTTTGGTTGAGTAAAACAAATAGGACATATCAGTAATTCAACGCACAGAACTTAAAATAATTAGTACTCATGTGGTTGAAGTTCTATAAATGGCAACTGCACGAGACAAGCAATTTTATTCGTAACTCAAAACGATGTCTGATACATCAGATGTGTACACATCTTCAGAAACAGACTGCGACGTTTAGTCGATG